CCCCTTCGTTTCGGTCTCATATTTCGCGAATCTCGCTATCATATTTTACTCGTTGCCCCCTTCCTCCTCTTCACCCTTTTCCTACCTTCCAGGACCCTTTCGGCTCGTCTCTCATTTTTTGCTCGCCAACTTTTCGGGGCCCTTCGAATCTGCTCTACCTTTTCGATCCTCTAACCCCCTTCGTCCCCTTCGATCTCCCCTCGATTGTTCGTCGCTCTAGCTCCATTCCACCTCCCAATATGCGACCATCTTTTTAGTCCTTCTGTATACGAATATTATTGTCTACCCTGTTTTCCAACCAGCTACGGTACTTATTATATTTGCGACCTGGTCCTCTGCGGAGGAATAAATTATGCAAATAACGTCTCGAAGGGGCGAAAGATTCCTGGTTTCGCGGCACACTGTGGACATTTAATGCCAAGCTTTCGGCTACTTTCGGGTAGTTAGGCCACTTTTGGGACGCCATGCGATTCTTATCGCGCGCTCGATTATACGGCTGGAGATTTCGATATGTGGGAATTTCAGCTTCGGTGTTTTGGGGACTCGAGTCAGAATTTTAAGATTGAGGCTTTTGAAAATTTTTAATTATGAACATTTTGGGAATGTGAAGATTCAAAGTCTTAAATCTTTGCATTATAATTCATTTATAGCGCGTCAGGTGCTTCAGAAGTAACTAAACACAGCTACAATACTAAGACAGACAAAGAAAGGTGAAATAACATATCAATGTGGTATACAATCATTGACTATGTAAATGGACTTGAATTCAAACATAAAGTGTGTTAAAAGTTCCAGCAAAATTGATCACAGCCGAAGAATGCGTCACAAGTCAGATTCGTAAAAAAATATCAAAGATTTGAAAATTCTAAAATTAAAAAATGTATAAAATTCCTAACTCTCGTATTTAGGAGAAAGGGATGACAATCTACTTAAAGAAGAAACATTAATTAAAAAATTCGAGGTAGAAAGATGTAATGAAACTTTCGAAAATCCTTTCATAAAGCTGCTGTCAAAGCACGAGCAAATGAGGAATGATAAGTAAGTAATTATTTTCCGCAAGAAACAATCATCGAACATAATTATCCGGCGAGGCTTTACGCCTCGAGAAACCCGGTCAAATGAAATCTGTCAGTTTTTACATAATCAAGCGACGGTTCGTGAAATTTCAGCAGGAGACGAGATCGTCAGGAAGCGAGGGCTCAGCGGGGTTCGGATAAAACAAGACACCAAACGTCGCCGGCGACAATAATTTAATCTTGCTCGCGTCCTCTTTTCTTGGTTGCTTTTCGAAACCGGTTGGACCGTGTCCATCTTCCTCGAGAAATTCGTCTGGCGAGGATCGAAACGGGAGGGAGCGAATCGAGTTAATAAGACGACGAATTAAATTCAGAATCTGGCAGCCGTATACGTAAATGAAACTTCGAAAAAAAAAAATTGAATGATAACTACGGTAACGGAAAAATATGCGGGAGAAATATGCAGAAAGAATGTCAAGCGCGTAAGAAAATCAAAAAGGTGCTGTCACGTTGAGAAACATTAATCGTGGAAAGTTTTATAGAAAAAAGAATTTAAAGGCTTTCCCGGATCTCCGAGACGGGATGTCAGACGTGTTTCCTTAATTGCTCGACATGTTTCGTCGCTGACCATGCCATTTATCGTGTCGGCGAATATTCGTTAAATGGCGTGCACATCGGGGCGTAACAACGACGTTTGAGGAGGGACATTGGCGTAACTCGCAGACAGGTAGTCTTGCAAGATGTGGGTAGAGGCACTATATGAATTTTTGTTGCAGAATTTTCAAATTTTTTAATATCGAAACATTTTTATTTCTCAATTTCTCACAATTCCCAATTCCATAGTAAGCAATTCCAAGATTCCCTATTCCACAATTTCCAACTCCACAATAAGCAATTCCATAATTCCCAATTCCATAGTAAGCAATTCCAAGATTCCCTATTCCATAATTCCTAATTCCACAATAGACAATTCCACGTTTGGCAATTCCAAGATTCCCAATTCCGACAACTCTCAATTCCAAGGTTCCTAATTCCCACAACTCCCAATTCCAGGATTCTCAATTCCCACAACTCCCAATTCCACAATTCCTAATTCCAGAATTCTGAATTCCACAATTCCCAATTCCACATTTAGCAATTCCACAATTCCCAATGTCACAATTCCTAATTCCAGAATTCCGAATTCTCACAATTTTCAAAATTCCACAATTTCCACTTCTCAATTCTCACAATCACCAATCCTCAAGATTCCAAATTTTTGAAATTTCGGATTCCCCAAATTTCCACTTCCAAATACCCAATGCCATTTTCCAAATTGCCCACAATTTCCAATTACAAGAATTTCCAATGTTTGAAATTTTTAAATCTCAAATTTCCACGTCTCAATATTGAAACTTAAAAATTCCACTATTACCAAACTATCAAACTCCCAATATTGAATTCCCAATTCTCAACATTTCAATCCTGCATTTCCAATTTCCAAATTTCTTTTAATCCCTTATTTTCAAACTCCTCAAATTTCTAAACTTGAAACGTATAAACCTCAAATCATTCGCTCAAACCCGGTGTCTAAGAACAGTATTATTGATGTTAGGGATTCTAGCTACGCCAATGGGGAGGAGACCGACGGCGACGACGATGTTGCATCGTGGCGCGGCAAAGGTCGCGCGAATTGTAAATCGCGGCCATAAATCGAGACTCCGCGGCGGGAAGAAAGGAAGAAGGGAACGGGGAATAAAGAGACGGGGAAATAACGTTCGAACGGTCGTAATCGATGGCCGGCGTTTCGAACTCGATTCGCGTTCGATCTTAACGCTCTATTTGTTGCGAGAGAACGCTTGCGAGAACGTTCTGTTCTTGTGCCAAGGGACGAGGCACGGGAATGGTAATACTACGGGGTGATTTGAATGGTATACCATAGAACTCTGCGCGAGGAATTGTATCGTGGAATTGTGCTGCCCCAGGGATATCGTGATGTTACTAAATGGGAGTAGGTGAGCTTCAACGACGAACGCTGTCGAAACGTTTGAATTATTGAAATCGAAACTGTTCGAAACTGGTTTCCCTCTGCAATTTGCTAAATGCGAGTCTTGCGATGCACCTCAATTTCGGTCATCATTCATTTTACATGTAGCCGAATATTATAATCATATCTGTTTATAATCAAACGACTTCGACTGAGTTTTTACTGAAAACAAGTTCATTTAACTTGCATCACATATGGTGTCTCACATGTGAAAATTTCACACATGAAATATGTTTCCAAAAATCACTATGTGGAATGATAAAGTATACCATTTATCTCAAATTTTTATTGACTTCGACTGATTTTTTACTGAAAACATGTTCATTTAATTTGCATCACATATGGTGTCTCACATGTAAAAGTTTCACACATGATATATGTTTTCAAAAATCGCTATGCGGAATGATAAAGTATATCATTTATTTCAAATTCTTATTCACTTCGACTAATTTCTTACTGAAAACATGTTCATTTAACTTGCATCACATATGGCGTCTCACATGTGAAAATTTCACACGTAACATATCTTTTCAAAAATCGCTATGTGGAATTATAATGTATATCATTTATTTCAAATTCATATTGGGACACATTAAGTGCAAAATAATTTTCCCCCTTTAACAATCCTATAATGATACTTAAATTTCATACTTAAATTCATCAAGTGTTATTTGCACCATCAAAAATGGATTTATGTCAATAATTTCCTGCACCATCGAGCAAGATCCGTGCCATGAGAATCTGCGAAGGTTTCCAAGGCGTTTACGCGATTCCCAGCGATATCGAGCGTGCTCGCTCATTCTCCGATTATATCGGTTATCGATCGGCAGAATCTCGGATTGGAGGCTCTATGCTAGGCCCTTAGAAGGCCGGTTAGTGAGGAAGACGGGCGTACGCCGTGTCAAACAATTAAGGTTGACTTACGCGTCTCGAACCGCGTTAAAAGAGGGAACGAGTTACTGGCTGACATCCTTCCGCGGCCGCTGCCATCAGATAATGCAAACCGTGGCCCTGTCATCTCCGAGGAATTTACCGACGACACCGCAACACCGGCCAGAAGTTACCGGAGAACTCGCGAGTTCCTTGCTATCGTACACGTGGGATCTTGATTTCGCTGCGCTCGCGAAGCGTGGCGAGTTCGCGCCAACCGCTAGCTTTTCCGCGAAAACGCGATCGGAACTTTGATCGCGAGAGATGTTGGAGAAGGAAATTTGAGATCGGTTGGTGATTAAGGTTTCAAAAGGAATTGAGCGATTTGAGTAATTTCTGAACTCCTAATTTACCAAATTCTCAATTTTCCAAATTCCGTCATTTCTAAATTTCTAATCTCCCAAATTTCTGTTTTTCCAAATTCCAAATTCTCCCAATTCCAAACACCACAAATTCCAAATTTCCCAAATTTCGAATTCTGCCAATTCCAAATTTCACAAATTCCAAATTTCCTAAGTTCCATATTCTCCAAATTCCAAGTTCTCCCAATTCTAAATTCTCCCAATTCCAAATTTCCCAAATTCCAAATTCCCCAAATTCCCCAAATTCCCCAAATTCTCCAAATTCCCCAAATTCCAAATTCTCCCAATTCCAAACTTCCCAAGTTCCCAATTCCCCAAATTTCAGATTACTCAAATTTCAAATTTCCCAAATTCCAAATTCCCCAAATTCCACATTTCCCAAATTCCAAATTCTCCCAATTCCAAATTCCCCAAATTCCAAAATTCAAACATTCTACATTTCCTCAAATTCCAAATTCCCCAAATTTCAAAATTTGAAAATTCTACTCCCTAAAATTCCCCAAATCTCCAATTTCCCAAAATCCCCATTTTCCCAAATCTCCAATTCTCCAAACATCCCAAACTCTCTATTCACAACTATTCGTGTTACAACTACGCTCGCAATAATTATGAACAATATTTTCTTTCAAAGATGTCGAATTCGAAAAATAGGAAAAGGTAACTCACCAGGCATGCAGACACACCGGAACGTCCCAGGATCATCGAGACAGGAACCATCGTTCTGACAAGGGTGGGATTCGCACTCGTTCACGTTCGTTTCGCATCTGGGTCCAGTGAATCCTTGTGTGCAATTACATGCGAATGAACCGGGAGTGTTCACACAGATACCGTCGTGTTCGCATGGGGATCCTGAAAAATGCAACAATAAATCGTCAGATTATAAATATTATATATCCTTCAAACTGCAATTCAAAATATGTATTTAGCTTGTTTAAACTTGATATTACTTTAAACATTGTTAAAATGGGGATTTAGACATTCTTTTCAATTTTATTTAAATCGTACTCATTGGTAGATAGATGATGTATTTGGATAGTAAACTTTCTTGAGAGTGTATTCATTTTTCGGTATGAATAAAGCGGACTTAATTTGAGACAGTGAGATCGACAGTGAGTTACATTAAGGTGGAGTAGTAATGTAAATAGTAAAAATGATGTACTAGAGATGCATATAGGGTAAATGATGTAATTTATAGTATATGTATAAGTATAGAATAAGTATATACAGTGTATACAGTATAGTATAAGAATGATTAACAATAGCAGCAAGTGTGCTACAGTAATAAAAATATTAATAGCAGGTATAATAATCTGAATACAATGAAACATGTAGTCTTCTACCCCCTCAAAACCTTTCAATTTTCACTACCCTTCATCCACATTAAATTCCGTATTCTTCCTCCACTTTATGAATTATAACATCTAACAAATTCGTAACCAAATAAAATATCTAATAAAAATGACTCCACCATCGAAAATCATAAAAATCCCACCAACGTCCTTTCACCCACAACCATTCGAACTTTTTCGGCCCAAAGTCAAGAAGTCTACCATTGTTTGCTAAAAACTGATCAGATACAGCAGAACAAGCAGAAAATAGCGGAGACCCGATCTCCGCTTAGCCAGGAAGAAAGCCCCTTTAGAGCGGTCGTGCAAGGATCGATAATTAAAACAGCCGCAAACCGGTGAACACGTGGTGCATAATAATTAATAGCCATGCTCTAGTCGAAGTGCAGCATGCAGGTGCATCCCCCGTGGGATGCGACACATGCACGATAGTGAGCCTTAATTGGCCAACTTAGCCGCGCTTTTTAGAGGAGTCGCCATTAGGGGAAGAAGAGAAGTTGAACAGACACGACGACCATAAGAAGGAAGCTGCAGTACAGATTCCAGGGGTACCGTGTGCCAACATCCCTGGACAAGAATCCATTTCATGGGCACCGTTTTCGCGGAGTTACGCTAATTGCAATAAGATAATTACGGCTGTCAGCTGTCAGATGCTCGGGGAACGAACGGTTCATTAGGGATCGTATAGGTATGGATTTTCAGAGGTTTTGGGGTTTGAAGGTGAGTTGCACTTTTGGGGATTTGGAGATTTGGAAATTTGGAAGTTTGGAAATTTCAGGTAGTGCAATTTTGGGAACTTGGAGGATTCTGGGATTTGACATTTGGGAAGCTGAGGACTTAGGGATTTGGAGATTTGGAAATTGGGGATTTAGGAATTTGGAAATTTGTGAATTGGGGGATTTGGAGATATGGGTATCGGGAGATTTGAGGGTTTGGAAATTTGGGAATTTAGGAATTTGGGAGAGTGAGAATTTGGTAGTTTGAGGATTTGGTAATTTGAGAATTTGGCAATTTGACAATTTGGAGACTTAGAGATTTGGGAATTTGAAAGTTTGGCAATTTGACAATTTGGGAACTTAAGGATTTGGGAATTTGAGAATTTGGCCATTTAGAAATTTGGTAATTTGAGAATTAGGAAATTTAAGGATTTGGACACTCAGTAATATGCAAATGTATGAAATCCAAGAACTTGTAAATAAAAAAGTGTTGAAATCTAATAACTCATAAACCTTAAAATATATAAAAGAAATGATAGAATATATAAATTTGAGTATTCTAACAAGTTAGAAATCCAACGCCATGACCAAAAGAATCCACCGATTGTCCACATCTCTGCGTGATCCAACATAGTTAGATTAGAATACAGGCAAACCAGGTGGTTTTATGCGAATTATACGCTCCGTATAGCGAGTACAGTTTGTTTTTCGTTTCGAGTGCCGATGGGCAAGAGAAAGTGCTTGATGGGGAATGAAAGAATCTTGAAAATCACACGGTGTCGTGTTCCACTCGACCGGCTCTCGTATGAGCTTCTTCCTATTTAGGAGTCTTTAATATTCGAGATATTAAAAATGGTTCGTTTGTAATCTTTCGTCGTGTCACATAAATATTTTTCTTTATATTAAAAAATTTCGAAAATTCGTGACGTTTGCTATTAATCATTGTGTATATTCCTGAGCAAAGTAAAAAAATTTATAAAATGTTATAGGATCTATAAAATGTAAAATGTAAAATGTAAAATGTAAAATGTAAAATGTAAAATGTAAAATGTAAAATGTAAAATGTAAAATGTAAAATGTAAAATGTAAAATGTAAAATGTAAAATGTAAAATGTAAAATGTAGAATGTAAAATGTAAAATGTAGAATGTAAAATGTAAAATGTAAAATATAGAATGTAAAATGTAAAATATAAAATATAAAATATAAGACATAGAACATGAAATATAAAATATAAAATACAAAATATAAAATATAAAATATAAAATATAAAATATAAAATATAAAATACAAGATATAAAATATGAAATATAAAATATGAAATATAAAATACAAAATACAAAATATACAAAATAAAATATAAGTGTAATGTAAGTTAATGTATAAAGTCTAATACACATAAACTGTTAAAAAACAAAATACATTTTGAAAGAAATAATATGAAAAGCCCCTCACATAAATTTGAATGACCCAACATTTTTTATCGAACATCATCACCTAATTAGGAAGAAAAATAATTCTTCATTATTCGACGTAAATTGCACTAATGAACCAAAAACTTGATATGGACTTGTTACATCCACAGTGCAACAGTACTGTACGATGTTATCATTGAAATTACACGGAATCAACATTTGCACCTAGTTAATTGTTTGCTGGAATTACATATCTGCCAAGCAGCGAATTCTATGTGATTCAACCAGATTTTTCAAGTAGCACGCCTCTCCCTGCTTTCACTAAAAGTCGAGGAAGTTCACACACCTTCTGTCTACGCATTTGTTGTACATGCAACGCTTCACCAGTGAAAGTTTCTATATACTAGTAATTAGAATGACTGCAGCAAAATAAACTATGTTTCACTGCAATTTCATTAAGTCTGTTGCATAGAGGAGACAATCGTATGTCACCTACTTGTAAGTAACTTGCTTTTAATGACTAGTTGTGTTGTCTAGTCAACTTGTTTATATGAAACATATTATGTAACCATATTTGTGATTTATGGATGTGTTTGATTAAGTTCATCAATGTCTTTGAGTAAATCAGAAAAGTATAGGGATATTCGTTAATTTGTATTATATTCATTAGGAATGAATATTTATATTTGATATATGCAATGGGTAATGAAAGAGACAAAATGTGTAGCACAATTAATATTATTATGAATTTATTATTATGTTATTAATTTTGCATTGGGGAATATAAAGACACTTGGGAATCTAGAAATTTGTGCACTTGAAAATTTAATAATTTGAGAATTTCGAAATTTGCAAAGGGGACTTGGAAATTTAATAGCTTGAGAATTTGGAAATTTATAAAGAGGAGCTGGAAATTTAATAGCTTGAGAAATTTGGAAATATAAAAATTTAACTTGAGAACTTGAGAATCTACAAATTTGGGGCCTTTTGTAATTTAATAACTTGAGAAATTTGGAAATCTAGAAATTTAACTTGAGTACTTGGAAATCTAGAAATTTGGGGACTTGGTAATTTAATAACTTGAGAAATTTGGAAATCTAGAAATTTAACTTGAGTATTTGGAAATCTACAAATTTGGGGGCTTGGTAATTTAATAACCTGAGAAATTTGGAAATCTAGAAATTTGACTTGAGAACTTGGAAATCTATTCATTCCAAAATACCAGAACTTAAAAATCTAAAAACTAGAAAATTCGAACCTTTGACAATTCATAAATTTGCCAATATGAATGTTTAAAAAATCCTAAATCCGAAAAGTGTATCTCGACATCCAACACTGGACAATTTGGAAACTCGACATCCAAAAATTGAAACATATGAAATCTGAAATACCTGAAATCTAAAATAACCAAAATCCGAAATATCCAAAATTGAAATATCATATCCAAAGTCCTGCACCGAGTGTCTTGATCTCTTAAAAATCCCAAGGAATGTTGTTCCGTTAGAAACGGAATTCTCTGTTCGCCGCTCAGGGCGACGATTCGACATCGTTCCCCAGCGCACAATGCTAATGTGGTCGAAAAACAAGCGGTTCTTCATGACCAACACGAACGCGTATCGTTTCCCAGGACAACGCGCGATTACACCGTAACCGATATTTCGAAAAAATGTTCAAAGAGCGTTCGCTATCGCGATGGCCGTTTCATAAAATATAGCGCGCGTGTTCGGTTCTGGCACGTTCGCATACCGGTCTCGTGTAATTCGCCGGAGCACGGTTTTTCCGACCTGGTCAGGTAATTGCTGTCGCCATGCGCGACGTTTGACCGAGCCCTGAAGAAACCGGGTAGAAAAGAGGAGCAAGGGTGCACGCGTGTTTACACGGTAGCAAGAAACGCATTGCTCCGTCGTGTTCGCGATCGAGCAACGTGGATGACGAATCGGTCGGCGAGTTCGAGACGACAAGGTCGAGACGCGATGACAAGAACAGATTATGAAAAAGGTTGCGCGAAGAGTGCTGTTTTGGCTGCCTTTCTTTTTGTAGAATGCGTGGAAAGTTTTGTTGCCATATTTTCAAGCTTGACTTTGTTGATTTGATTTTTTTTAGGTAATTAGTTTTACTTATTTTTAATTCGTAATAATTTTATACGGTAAGCTGGGAAGGAAACAGTGGTAATATGAATGTGATTGGTTGATGAACATAACCTCTTAACCTATAAATTTCTAGGCAGTTATGTCATTCACAGCTTCCTAATTATTTTTACGATGTTAAGACAGCTAAAGAATGTCAAAATGTTAGGTACGTTGTCATCACAAATTGTAGGCACAAAGAGGTTAAAAGCAAACTACATATCCACATACGGAAGTATTCTAAAGA